GTTATACATTAGTTTTACACTGATGGGAGTATAATGCAGAGAGACCTCCACATCTTTCCAAGGGGGAATATAGTGAACAGTTTTATCAGGGTTAAGAGATACATTCAGTTTCTGAAGATTATAGACACAACAACTGAGCCACACACTGTAGGGAGCTTTTTGCGGCGGATTGAGGGGCTTGTCTTGTGATAGTTCGGTCCAACAGGCAGCCTGTTGCTTGGGAGGGCCCGCAAGCCCACGTATCCAATACAGCCCGGTTGGTCTGTAGTAGATAGGTAGTGGTGTGTAAAGAACCACTTGTAGATAACGAGACAATGATGTAGCTGACAATAAACAACCCGAGCCACACCTGTGTGTGGCTCGGGTTCTCTGGAAATGTTGTGTGATCCAAGTGACGATATTTCGGTCTCTCCCGGACTCTTGTCAAGTGGTAACTAAGTAACAGTGGGAGAGGGAGCCATTATAATGTTATGAGTACTACTCAACAATATTGACAAAATGTTCTGTTTACTGACTCAGAGTGTAACCGTTCACAGTAATTCAACATGACGCCTACGGAAGTATTTAAGTTTAGAACCTCAAGAACCACGTGTGTGGTATTTTTAGGGTAAGAGGAGTGTACAAGGTCACGTTAAATCAGGGGAGAGTTAATTCATTAATAAAGTTAGACAGTGCTACTGCCAGCAACACAGTGAACACAGCTGCACATGACGTCACTGCATATGCAGTTTTTGAGCAACATTTCGGCGTTTATGGTCTAAGAGAACATTTTGTGTTATTCTGTGTCTATAAACAGTGTGCAGTACCCTATGGGTCCGTGTCTAAACAATGTACAGTACTCCCATATGGCTCAATATCCAAACATCGTGCAGCGCCCCAAGAGTCTGTACATAAGAATTAATGAAACTGAATTAGGCCTACTGGCCCATACGTCCCAAGCTGCTATTTACATTCACCCAAAATTCATTCATCTATACATATCTAACCTACGCTTGAAACAATCAAGTGATCCACGTCTGTCATGTTACCTGCATGGTGATCTGTTCCACAAATCGACCACCGTGTTTCCAAACCAATATTTACCCAGTAGCGCCTATGATGTGCCCACTCATCCACTCGTGCACTTTTCATTCCTGGCCTCCGAGTGAGTGCACGCTCAGAGTAGCGGATGTGGTGGCCAGACTCGCCTGTTAAGACACATTGCGACACGGTGGGTGCTGGACACCACAGGTTGCCGTCTCGGCATACCAAACCTCACTCTTGGATACCAAGCACCTCACCCTCTGATACCAACCAGTCCTCTCTTCCCCCCCCCCCTCGGGTTATGACGACACAGACATCTCGCGTCACTATAATGAAAGGTGACACGACACCTATAATGAAAGGTGACACGACACCTATAATGAATATCACACGACACCTATAATGAAAGGTGACACGACACCTATAATGAGGTGACATGACACCTATAATGAATATCATGCGACACCTATAATGAGGTGGCACGACACCTATAATGGAGGGTGATATACTAACTCGTTACCTAGAATGTATTATAACATCTGCCAGGTACCCATAATTGGGTACCCAGGTACCCTATTACGGGCTATTCATGCCCGTGCCACCTCTTGGGTGGCATAAGCTTCATCAATCAATCGGTACCCAAAAAAGCGAACTTTTTGAATAAACGAGGTCGGGTTCACAGCAGAGGGCCGCTGCCCGTTCCATACCAGATCAATAACTAGCTCGAATTTCATCAAATATAGGCTGTAATGTATATATTACAACATTACACTACGGGCCGCTCGAAGCAACAGCCGTCTAGATCAAGTAATCACAAGGCAAGCCTTGCTCCAGGTCCGGGTTTGAGGAGTAGAACTCTCAGAACCCAATCCAGGTATACTCCAGATAATGTTCCCATCTCTCAGGATACTCACAGTGTATGAAAGAAAATATACTGTGAAAATGCACTACCTAACTTTAGGTGGAGTATGATATTATTTTCAAGTATCTATGAGCGAATTAAATAGTCGCTAAGCTCAACACATCTCCTGCCACAGTCTAGATAAAATCATGCCACGAATGCTGATTCTTGATGGTGCGTGCAGTTTGCATGAAGGGTTTACCCTGGCTATGACTGCGCGAGAGCCACACATTCAGTAGTAATGTTGTTGACACGGAGGGTAGGTTGATGAGGGCGGAGCCGCCCTGGGGTGTGGGGGCCCAGGGGGTCCTTATAGCAGTGACAACTGGGCGTGTGGGGCCCAGGAGGTCCTTATAGCAGTGACAACTGGGCGTGTGGGGTCCAGGGGGTCCTTATAGCAGTGACAACTGGGCGTGTGGGGCCCAGGGGGTCCTTATAGCAGTGACAACTGGGCGTGTGGGGCCCAGGAGGTCCTTATAGCAGTGACAACTGGGCGTGTGGGGCCCAGGAGGTCCTTATAGCAGTGACAACTGGGCGTGTGGGGCCCAGGGGGTCCTTATAGCAGTGACAACTGGGCGTGTGGGGCCCAGGGGGTCCTTATAGCAATGACAACTGGACGTGTGGGGTCCAGGGGGTCCTTATAGCAGTGACAACTGGACGTGTGGGGTCCAGGGGTCCTTATAGCAGTGACAACTGGACGTGTGGGGTCCAGGGGTCCTTATAGCAGTGACAACTGAACGTGTGGGGTCCAGGGGTCCTTATAGCAGTGACAACTGGGCGTGTGGGGTCCAGGGGGTCCTTATAGCAGTGACAACTGGGCGTGTGGGGTCCAGGGGGTCCTTATAGCAGTGACAACTGGGCGTGTGGGGCCCAGGGGGTCCTTATAGCAGTGACAACTGGGCGTGTGGGGTCCAGGGGGTCCTTATAGCAGTGACAACTGGGCGTGTGGGGCCCAGGGGGTCCTTATAGCAGTGACAACTGGGCGTGTGGGGTCCAGGGGGTCCTTATAGCAGTGACAACTGGACGTGTGGGGTCCAAGGGGTCCTTATAGCAGTAACAACTGGGCGTGTGGGGTCCAGGGGGTCCTTATAGCAGTGACAACTGGGCGTGTGGGGCCCAGGGGATCCTTATAGCAGTGACAACTGGGCGTGTGGGGTCCAGGGGGTCCTTATAGCAGTGACAACTGGGCGTGTGGGGTCCAGGGGGTCCTTATAGCAGTGACAACTGGGCGTGTGGGGCCCAGGGGGTCCTTATAGCAATGACAACTGGACGTGTGGGGTCCAGGGGGTCCTTATAGCAGTGACAACTGGACGTGTGGGGTCCAGGGGTCCTTATAGCAGTGACAACTGGACGTGTGGGGTCCAGGGGTCCTTATAGCAGTGACAACTGAACGTGTGGGGTCCAGGGGTCCTTATAGCAGTGACAACTGGGCGTGTGGGGTCCAGGGGGTCCTTATAGCAGTGACAACTGGGCGTGTGGGGCCCAGGGGGTCCTTATAGCAGTGACAACTGGGCGTGTGGGGTCCAGGGGGTCCTTATAGCAGTGACAACTGGACGTGTGGGGTCCAGGGAGTCCTTATAGCAGTAACAACTGGGCGTGTGGGGTCCAGGGGGTCCTTATAGCAGTGACAACTGGGTGTGTGGGGCCCAGGGGGTCCTTATAGCAGTGACAACTGGCCGTGTGGGGCCCAGGGGTCCTTATAGCAGTGACAACTAGACGTGTGGGGCCCAGGGGGTCCTTATAGCAGTGACAATTGGACGTGTGGGGTCCAGGGGGTCCTTATAGCAGTGACAACTGGCCGTGTGGGGTCCAGGGGGTCCTTATAGCAGTGACAACTGGGCGTGTGGGGCCCAGGGGTCCTTATAGCAGTGACAACTGGGCGTGTGGGCACTGCCCTGGCGTCCTCTCTCTTAACCCATCTACCTTCCCACCACTTTGTAAATAAGCTCCAAAGACACATTAGAGATATATTGTGTTATTTCAGACATTTTATATTTCCTTAACACAAAATCCGGAAAAGGCCAGACGGTTGAGTGGACAGCGCTCGGGATTCGTAGTCCTAAAGGTCCGGGTTCGATCCCCGGCAGAGACGGAAACAAATGGGCAGAGTTTCTTTCACCCTGAAGGATCTACGGACAACTGCTTCCTGTGTGTGTGTACTCATCTGGTTGTGCTTGCGGGGGATGAGCTCTGGCTCTTTGGTCTTTGTTCTAGCTCTTTGTGTTGGGGGGGGGAGGGGGAAGGAAAAATAACAGTTGATTGACAGATGAGAGGCGGGCCCAAAGCGCCAGAGCTCAACCCCCGCATGTATAACTAGGCGTGAACAACTAGGAGAGTACAGTACCCACGAAGGGAAGGGTGGGGGGAAGGGTGGGGGGGGAAGGGTGGGGGGGGAGGGGTGCGGGGGTCTGATGGAAATGAGTCTGCCGGACGCTGGGGCTTCTATTGAAGGCCAAATAGTCTCGACTCCACATGATAAACTGTCTTAGAATACTTCGTCTTATAAGTTATTGCAATTCATTACACATCAATGGATACGGACGTGATCGGAGCCAGCCGGCTTTAAGGCATGCAAACACTGTGTAATACTTAGCTGAGACGTTGATCAAGTTGCTCAAGGAACCTCCTGCAACAACTTCATTGTATATAAAAATGTTATATTATATATATATATATATATATATATATATATATATATATATATATATATATATATATATATATATATATATATATATATATGAGCCACATGCAAGCAGGCACATACAGAACGAACAATTTCAAAGATATAAATTAGTTTCATTAATTAAATTCACGTTGATCTTAATTCTCGAGGAGTAATAGTGGAGAGAGCGAGTTTACACTTGACACAAGGGTGGGCGCTGAAGCAGGAAAACCACGCAGGAAGACCTCTTGGTAAACTAGGACTCTTGGTCAATTGGTCCACACTTCTTATTTGGGAAGGCACGATTAGGTTCACAACTCTCGCTAGCACCGTTAACTTCCCCACCCATTCCTACGGGTCATTTTCAACCCGAACGTATCACAAACACGGAGGATTATTCCCGTAACTCACTCTATAAATTTAGGCTTCCACGGCACATGGGGGTGGTTACAATGGCGTCGAGGAGCACAGTACCTCTCCCTAGAGCGGTCACCGCAGCACTGGTTGACTCACACTTGCCTCGACAGCTTCACTCATCTTACGAGTCACTGAGCACAGCAGCGTTTCTTTTCAGAAAATATCGTTCACCTCATCATATACGAATAAAAACATCTGCGTTCGCGGGATGTTGGTTTATTTGTTTTAAAAACATTGTTGAAACAACGCTTTTTTCTTAACCGGCGGCGTTTACTATACTCTTCACAGTTTTAATTCAAGACTCGTACCACCTTTGAACATGGTACTCATTCACTACTGAAAAAGTTCCAAACAAAATGAATAAAAACGTGTTCCACTGTATTGCACAGTAACCAACTGTGAATTATAACTGTAGTTTCCTATTTGTTATAAAACATAAGTAATAGTATCGAGCGGTGGCCAGGGCAAGGATACAAGACAGTGCCAATACTATGAACACTACGCCAACCCTACAGTACTAATGACCCAACCACACACACACACACACTCATGTTGAAACTGTTGTCCAAGTGTTGCCACACAGCGCCAGCTGCCGCCCGTCACAACGTCCGCACGGTTACTCCCACATTTATGGAGGGCTACAGGAGCCAGCCCCCAGGCCGCCCACCAGCCCCCAGGCCGCCCACCAGCCCCCTGGACGCCCACCAGCCCCCAGGCCGCCCACCAGCCCCCAGGCCGCCCACCAGCTCCCAGGCCGCCCACCAGCCCCCCAGGACGCTCACCAGCCCCCCAGGACGCTCACCAGCCCCCCAGGCCACCCACCAGCCCCCAGGCCGCCCACAAGCCCCCAGGCCGCCCACAAGCCCCCAGGCCACCCACCAGCCCCCTGGACACCCACCAGCCCCCAGGCCACCCACCAGCCCCCAGGCCACCCACCAGCCCCCAGGCCTGGGTGGTAATGTCAAAATGTAAATGTCGTAATTAAAAAGCAATGTTTGGAGGTTAGGGAGCGCGAGTCAGTACGTGTTACCCATCACCAGAGTTCCCACACACTCATTACTTTGACAACACAATGGGTATGATGGGGTACTGTAGCGCAGTGGTCTCCGTCCTCCCCTCACAATCGAGATTCCCGGGTTTAATCCCCTGGTAGGACGGCTGGGGACATGTTCTTTCCCCCTAATGTCCACCTAGCAGTAAATAGATCCCCGGGAGTTAGGCAACTGTTGTGGGGTTGTATCCTGGGGATGGTCAGTAACTCGACCTTGAGGGCACCCAGATACAAGTAATTATAAAAAAGGCACCAAGCTGGGGAGACTATGTAGCACACACAGATACAATCCTCAGTTAAGTATATATAAATCAAGAGCAATTAAGTCAGACCAACCACAGCAATTTATTTATTTATTTATATACAAGAAGGTACATTGGGTTTGTGAGAATACACAGCATAATATTTACAATCTTGTAAAGCCACTAGTACGCGCAGCGTTTCAGGCAGGTCCTTAATCTAACAGATAATTTTAAGTAGGTAAATTGTAGCAGAATTAATAAAATGTTTTGTTTTTGAATGACGCAAAAGTTGGACAGCTTTTCAATTCATTAAGGAGTGAGTGCCACAGACTGGGTCCCTTTATTTGCATAGTGTTTACACAGATTAAGTTTGACTCTGGGGATATCAAAGAGATATTTATTTCTGGTGTGGTAATAATGGGTCCTATTACATCTGTCCAGGGAGAGTTTCAGAGCAGGATTTGCATTTAAGAACAGGGTTTTGTAAATGTAGTTGACAAGAGAATTTGTGGAGTGAGATTATGTTTAGCATGTTTAGGGAGTTAAACAAGGGGGCTGAGTGTTGTCTGAAAGCAGAATTTGTTATTATTCTGATAGCAGATTTTTGCTGGGTGATGATGGACTTGAGGTGGTTTGCAGTGGTTGAACCCCCATGTACAGATACCATAATTAAGATAGGGATAGATTAGTGCATAATATAGAGAGATGAGAGCAGAGTTAGGTACATAATATCTGATTTTGGAGAGTATACCAACAGTTTTAGAGACTTTCTTAGTTATGTGTTGTATGTGGGTGCTGAAGTTGAGTCTCTTGTCTAGGAATAGGACAAGAAACTTTCCATCATAGCTTTGGTCTAACATGCACAACGCTATCTTGATTCCTCTGACTAATAAACATTTATAAATCAATAGAGAAATGCTATTGTTAAAACGCCGGATAGGAAATGCGAGAGCAAATGAGATAATGAGGAAAAAAATGAGAAAGAAAAACGAGAACAAATTGAAAGAAAATGAAAGTGAGAAAAAGAGAGGGAGGGACTGAAGGAGAAGGAGAGGGACTAAGGTGACCCAATACTGTGATCCCCAGGGACAATATTCCAGCAAATGATAATCTTGTTTAATGAGCTGATCACCCGAGGAGATAATTCGGCAAGTTCCAAGCTGCTGCGTCTGGGTACAGTTGACAGGATTAACAACCCAACGGTATTCTTCTTACTGGGAGTGTTGTACTTGCTGCTATGGCGGTGTGTCCACTCACAGGATGAGTGGCGCTGCCCAATACTGTCACTATGGCGGTGTGTCCACTCACAGGATGAGTGGCGCTGCCCAATACTGTCACTATGGCGGTGTGTCCACTCACAGGATGAGTGGCGCTGCCCGATACTGTCACTATGGCGGTGTGTCCACTCACAGGATGAGCGGCGCTGCCCGATACTGTCACTATGGCGGTGTGTCCACTCACAGGATGAGTGGCGCTGCCCGATACTGTCACTATGGCGGTGTGTTCGCTCACAGGATGAGTGGCGCTGCCCGATACTGTCACTATGGCGGTGTGTTCGCTCACAGGATGAGTGGCGCTGCCCGATACTGTCACTATGGCGGTGTGTTCGCTCACAGGATGAGTGGCGCTGCCCGATACTGTCACTATGGCGGTGTGTCCACTCACAGGATGAGTGACGCTGCCCAATACATAGCATAATACACATTATGGCGGTGTGTCCACTCACAGGATGAGTGACGCTGCCCAATAAACTTGCCCCTCGTGATAATGAAGAGAGTCGACACACGACCCAGCAAGAGATTCAAATTAAGATGGGAGAGATGAGAGAGAGGGGTGGGAGAGACGAGAGAGGGGTGAGACAGACGAGTAAGGGGTGGGAGAGACGAGAGCAGAGACAAGGTGAGTGAATGTGGTGTATTAACAGTGTGGAGTGAGTGCACTGGAGGGAGATGCCTGGCCTTGAGTCTGACGCCTCACTCCTCCCACCCCGCTCTCACACGCCCCCCTGACGCACTTCCGGGCCCCCTCTCCCTCTCGGTAAAACAATTTATATCAACTTCTTTTCCTTTGGAACCCTTACACCGTGCGTCTTACCCTCCCTCCCTATCCCTCCGAACTACCCTAATGTAATAATGGAAATGGAGGTAAAGGTAGCAATGGTAACGTTGATAATGATAATAACGAGAACAATGATGGTAATAATGTTTATGTGATCAATTGCAACGACTGCAATTGATCACATGGTGGAGAGACTGGTCGTGGATTATCGAGAAGAGTTGATGAACACATGAAAGCAATAACAAAATTGATAATAATGCCATTGCTAACTATTGTTGGGATTTCAATCACAGATTGGATTTAAATAGTAATACAGCTGTATACAGCAGCTCCAATATCCATGAGAGTGTCCTACAAGAAGGGGTAATTATAGACTCTGGAGACAACACAGAGCAACAAATCCTTTGGTAGAGAAGACCCGATCAACCGCAAAATTATTCTTAATGAAGCTAAGTTAAATATTGATGGCCAAACCAAACACTAGAAATTGAAGAGACGACGACGTTTCGGTCCGTCCTGGACCATTATCAAGTCGATTGTGATGAGACGAGGTTGTTGTTGTTTTAAATTTTGCTACTCAGAACTAAATGTCCATGTAGCACGGGCTATGGTGAACCCGTAATTGAGTTCGGTTATTCGCGATAACCTTGTTACTCTGATATTTGGGTCAAAGTTTTAAAAGGAGGTGGGGTTCCCGCCTCTTTCCCTGTTTCTTTTTCGCTTCTATTTTAGTCGTGTTTTAATAACATTATCTTGGTGGCGGATGTAGGTGCAGAATGTTCATTACTGAGTCCCATTCTTTAAATGGTTTTTCTAATCATTGTAGTGGCTGTGGAATGTGCATCTAATGCAGGTGCTGTCGTTGGATTAATGTTTAGTTTGATGCGCAGGGCTTCAGTAGCTTCACATTCCAGTAAGTAGTGCAATATTGGCGCCTCTGCTTCTGTTCCACAGATATGACACTCTTTAACTATTGGGTTTATTACCTCCCAGCAGAACTTGTAACCAAGTTTGAGTCTGTGTATGGCTACTGCAATGTCTCTGGATATCTTTTTGTCAGGCTTGAAAGATTAGTATCCAGTGGCTTGTTCGTACCATATCGCAGTGGATCTTCCTTCCGCTACTTTGGCTCTGTGGCGACTTTTGATAGTTGGGAGTATTTTCTTCTTGATTTGTTCCTTAATCTGTGAAAAACTTGGAGGTATTTGAACCTGTACAACAGGTAGAGCAGTGGCAGTTTTTGCTAGTGAGTCTGCCTTTTCATTACCATCTATGCCAATGTGACTTGGTATCCAATTTAGGATGATTGACAGCCCTAGATTATGGGCTTCTTTTCCTATATGTTGGATTTCTGTGAGGAGTTTTTTAGTTGTATATTATCTCTGTGTTGACTGGATAACAATGCCTGGAGCGAAAATTTAGTCTGTATGAATGATGACATCATGTAAATTATTCTCAATTATATAGTTTATGGCCTGCTTCAGGACATATAATTCTGTCTGCAATGTTGAGCACCCACTAGTCATGCTGCAGTAAGCTTCATATGAGACGAGGGAGGAAAGGGCATTAAGGCATGAGAGAGGTGAGGAGAGGAAAATCTTAGAGGAAGATAAGAGCAAGGCAAAAGGTACGGAAGGTAAGGTGTAATAAAGGGTGTAATAATAGGAATATGAAAGGGATCGTAAGAGAAAACAAGAGAAATAAAAAGGAAGGATAGGGTTATGTAAGGTCACGTTTGTTAGAAAGTTTAGAACATTTGAGTATATACTGTGAAAGGGAGGAGTCAA